GAAAGACAAATATGACCGTTCCCCTTTTTAAAAACTCATATTTAATTTTCTCAGAGAAACAGATGCACTGTGGACTGCACCCACCTTCAGCCATCTGACTTCAGTCATCTGACTGTCAGTGGTACCCTATGGCTTTTCCTGGCTAACAGACCTGCCTGGACTCCTTGTCCTCTTGTCCAGAGCAAATCCACTGCAGATACTCACAGTGTCCCTGCTCTGCTTCCAGTTGAGCTGACAGAAGTTGTCAGTGAGCACAGTTCAGTCATTGCTACCTACCCAACAGCTTTTCCTCCAAAAGAGAAGCCTAAAAAAAGACTGCAGCTGGAGAAGACCTGAGCAATATGCATTATTATTTTTTTTTATTATTATTCAGCAAGGACTTAAACACTGCTTGATGAGCTAATTCTGCTGGATTTTTAGGGGCAAACAGCGAGGGGAAAAAACACGCAGGTAAGTGGTCATCTCTCTTCTTCAGATACAAAATACTGGTGTGTTCAGCCACAGATTGGCTTGAGAACTACTCACAGGCTCCCAACAGTGAGCCTGCTGGAGTCTGTTAGCAAAATACTTCATGGATCTGTTCTAGCATGCATCCACACACTAACCAGTTCTCTCCTGCAGCCAGCCCTGCCTGGAGTTTCACAGAAGCCTCATATTTTAGGGCAGGAGACTCATGCACATGTATTGCTTATATAACCTAAGGAACCACACAGAGACAGTCTTCCCAGTGTGTTATTTCAAGGGTTGGTACTTTTCAGCTCTCCAAGACAGGCATGTGTTCTGTGAAAAGCACCACTCTGCTTCCCACACAATAGAAATCTCTAACCAACGTTTCCCTGACAATTTTATGTAATCCACTTTCCCCACAAGATACACAATGCAGCTTTCCCTCAATCTCTCCCTCCCCACGACTGCAGTGTGACAGCTAAATACTCAGGAGTGCCAGGAACTGCCTCATAACACTTTTGCACAGAGGTCCCTGTAAGGGTGCTTGAAATGGACTTTTTTCCTCCACAGTATCATTTAGCAGCAAAACTCTTATTCCATGACAACAGGAACATTTCAGAAATTAAAGATACAACTCTAAGAGACACCTACCACATGCATTACTTTAAGCCATCTACTGCAATGTCTCATACTTCGCTGGAACCATATTTTGGGACCCTTGCAAGCTTTGCAAACGTGTCTCAATTTACTTCCTTGTTTGTGGAACTGCACCTTCAGCAACACTTGCTGGTAGGCTGCAGCAACCCCTCAAGACTATAAGACCAGGGGAATACACCTTGCTGGCAGTCGAGATGTTCAGCAACCCTGTTCCAAAGGATTAAACACCATGGATCCAGCACCCACAAAAGGCCAGATGCGTGAGCCACCGTACGGGCAGCACAGAGGCAGATTTAAACACACTCTTAAATCTCTTGCTCAGATGCAAGACCTGCTTTCCCCTACCTAGTTTTAGACTTTGCATGGCCATCCTGCAACCAGGAACTGCTCAGACAGTGGTATTCCGTGGCACAGATGTGGCTACATTTGCTCTGCTACCCAGCAGCTATTTTACCCTGACGGAAATCCCTTAATGAGTGGTTTGCTGCCTTTAAGGGTGACATAAATAATCCTTGACTAAGCTGAGGTATGGCCCACAGAAACCACACTGTGCAATGAGGAAACAACTTGAAATTTTCATTTCAATCCTACCAAGACTATTAAGAGGTCTTGCATACTGGGGATAGCTCTTTTTGTGCTGTTTGAAATAAAGCATTTTTTCACTTAGCTGCTTTATAAGAGCTTGAACTTCAGAGCACACAATCCATGGTCCTTGACAGCATGACCACAAAAATTAATTCTGTTAAGATTTTTGTTAAGTCATGCTATTTTGACATAAGAAAATGGGGATGGATATTAAAATGGAGATTGATTCTAAAAGACATCTGTTTTAGAAGACCATAGAAAAGGGTTTAGGTAAAGCAGGTTTATTTTAAAACCTGTGGGGCTAATTCATCTTCTGCCAAGATTAAGAAAGTGAATGTCATCCTAGAAAGATGTAAATGAAGATCTGCCCAGTTTCCCACAGCAGGTGAATAACAGTTATGCAAGGTCAATGTGGTTGCTTAGAGCTGTAGCTCTCCTGAAAACACATGAAGTTGCCTGTGTTGGTGCAAAGAGAAGATGGAGCCACTTTGTGATCTTTTCTGTTTTGTTTCAGAATCATCAAATGATGGTTTTGTCAATGATTTCAGACACTCAAAATTCCATAAAAACAGAGAGAATAAATAACCCAGGGTTTGGCACATTAAAAAAAAAATTAAAATCTCACAGCAGCATTTTCATGCAATTAGCTGCTTTGAATTAATACGATTTAATAAATAATTAAATCACTTTATGTGCTGAAGCAAGTTGTGTTCAAGTAAGCATTTTAAAAGATGCCTATTTATTTTGTCATTCCTTGCACTGAGTAATTAATCATTTACCATGTTTTTTAAGTATTTAAGAGTCAAGTAAGTGGGTACTGCTATTCAATCATGGAACTGCACCAGACTTCTGCTGTGATAATCTCCTGTGCACAGAAGAGGAAGGCTGTGAAATTACTCTCTTCTTGGTAGGGCTATCCTAGTTCTAGTGCTCAAACTACAAAAAAAGGGTTTTTAAAGCTAAGTCTACAGATTCAGCTTGGGCATAAAGGCTTCAAAGACTCCTCATATCACCAAAGACATGTTCAGTGACCTTGGAAAAACCTCCTCCCCTCTCTATATTAATTCTGGTTTTCTATCAGAATGAAGAGGAAAATGAGCTACCTTCTTGGCTAGAAAAAGACTATGACAGACAAATAATATTTTATTATCTTAATTAAAAACTGTCTAGCATTAATATATAGGGAACATTGTCTCTCAAGGTTAGTGTGAGAGGAAAAAAAAAAGAGTATTCTGCTTGCTCTCCCACTAACTAAAGCCAAGCACCCCAAGGCATTCTGGGAATGCCTTCCCTCACGGTACCTTTTCCCCCCCTATGTATTTAATTAATTTTTTTAAAACACAGAGAAGCACATCACATTTCACCACAGCTGACAAAACTGACAGCTCCCCACATCATTCTATATTATTTAAACATCATCTGTTTTTGTACAGCTAGGAATGTTCTGAAAGAAAGTGTCATTTCCCATGGGCAGGAACTTATTTTTGACTATAATATGGTCTCCTTGTGAAAAGAAGAGGTGTGTAAGAAGTAGAAGAAAATCAGAATAAAAAAAAAGTCCTTATTACCAGTAATGTCTTCAAAGGAGAATGTTGTTATATGTGTATTTGAAATATAAAATGTAGAATGCAGATAGCTTAGTTTCAAAAGCTGGGTAGAAGCAAAAGGAATAGGTGAAAAATAAAAAGAAGACAGCGTAGATGGAACCTTCAGAGCTTTGCAAAACAGCTGCAGGTTGCACTTCTTAAATACTGGGGCAAGGGCTTGGTATACATACCATCTGCAGCACAGCAAGCAGCAGGTAATTGAGTACCCCACCCCACAGAAAACTAAATGCAGGAAGCTGACCAGAAGAAGAGTAATCTACCTGGTTTACAAAAAGTAACGGTTATGGCCCTTTATTTCCTTAAAAAACACACATTCCTTTGGGAATCTGTCTGTTGCTTGCATAGTTGGTGCTAAACTGACTTGTCCTGAATGCAGCCAGAGGCTGCACAAGGTTTGGGAAAGCCTCGCAGAGCAGAAGAATGCACTAGAAGGAAGCAGCACAGTTAAAGAGATCAGACACGTTCCCACCTCTGCTTCAGGGCAGGAATCTCTGTGGGTTCTGGCTCGAGGATTTCATAGGCTAAGTTCACATCTTCTGTTTCACGAAGCAGCGCATAGATGGGCTCAATCTGCTCATTAAATCTTGCCACCAGTGTCCGTGCATCCTTTTTGGGCATCGCCGACTCATCTTCTTCCACTTCAGTCTCACAGAAAGTACAGCGGAAAGTTCCTAAAACAAAAAAAAAAACTTGCTAAGCATTGGAAAGAAAGCAGCAGGCCTGGCATCTTATACAGCCTTTTAAACAGCAGTGCTTTTCTATTAGCTTGATGCTAAATAGCTTTTGTCCCCCTGACAATCTCTTCCCACACACAGTGCACCTGATTATTATTTAAGCAAACAACAAAGCAAGCATTTTGATACTATCCATTGATACCCAATTGGGTACAGTTTCTCGCCCTGAAAAGCCCAGATGGGCTACAGTACGTCTACTGAGACATCTTATATCACTCCCTCTTCTTGTTGCACATTTTACGTGTCAAAAAGCTTCCAAATATACTCTTAGGAGTTCAAATATTGTCTGTTTTCAGGTACTTGCACTGGTATCTCCCATGCCACATGAATAGGCTAATTTCACAATGAAGCAGGGTGAAGCTTTAAACTGCACCAACCCCTCTGCAGTAACTGCTAGTATAACCATTTTCACTCTGCCATTAATGCAAAAAAGATGGCTTCTCCTTTTGTTTCAGGGCCAAAACATGCAAAATAGTCATTACTGCAGAGCAGCAAATGCAAAAACTTATCCCACCTAACCCTCATACTAACGTCTTGAAATTAAGAATGGCAAGATAAGAATTGTATGAATGGCAATTAAGAACAAGCTCATTTCACAGACCTCATCAGGATCTATGAAATAAACAGGTCAAACTGAAAAGCAACTGAAATGGTTGCATGGCAAAATGCAGTTACAAAAATAAAAATACCGAACTCCTGCACAGCAGGCTTTTACGTTTCATTGCTCCATCTGTGAGTAGGACCCTGAGGTCAGTCAGTACATGCACAGTAAGACCTTACCATATGGTCCACGACGAGGGGAGCAAGAGAGTGTAATGACTTATCCTTCCAAGTGCTAGACTGAGAACATACCACTTCCTCCTCAGAATACTGACATCCAGAGCAATGCTCACAAGCTTCTTGATTTCTCTTGTCCCTGTGTGATGTTTTTATTTATCTGTTCTGTGGCACCTATGCACATCTAGCATAAACTCTTAATATCCCGATGACGACAGAAAAATATCTTTTTACTAATGGGGAGCCTGAGGATAGATCCTATCGAGGAAACAATAAGCTTATGTCTAAAAATCAGTATTAGAATCAGTATTGAAGCCTAGTATATCACTGGTACAAGCACAGCCCAAAGGAATGGGTTTTCCCAGGGCACACAGGCATGATGTAATGAGACAGGCTGGCAAGCCAGGGCTTCCGCTATCTTGTTTTGCTGCTTACACAGATTTGCTAGTCTTGTCACTTCATTTTTTAGTGTACCTCTTTCTTTACCTGTAAGATAGTGATAAAAACAGACCTAACTTCTCCACTAATGGCTGTGAAGGCTAGACAATGATTGTATGCTTCTTGGGAAACACACCAAAGCACGGTTTATATCAGGAGGTAGATCTGTTGCCTCTCACCACAGCCAATAGAGATGCAGCTTCTGCCTCAGCACCATCTGAAGTAGCCTTTTGCTCATCGTTACTCACAAATTAATGCAAGTGTGCTGTATATGTGGCCTGCAATATGTACACATTTCCTGCAATAAACTCTCTTTAGGAAGTTTGTGTTATCTACATTTAAAAGCTAGAGCACCCAATAACAGCAGTATGCAGAGGCTAAGTGGATAAAGTGCTCTTCTCTCCCATCCAAGCATGAAGCACTCTGCCTATTTTTTTTTCAGGCTGTAAAAATCGCCCCTACTGATTCAAAACCTGCACATTATATAAGCTGTCAGCCTGGCAAAAACTGAAGCCAAAGTTTGGTCTCCTTATCCCACTTTTGAGGCTACCAGCATGACAAATCGGCAAACAAGCTGAATCAATTTAAAATAATTAGCACATCTCAGTTCCCATAATGGACTAAGTGAACAAGCATAGGTTAATAAGGAAAACTCTCCTCTTTTTACAACCCCCACCAAAAGTCCTGTTACATGTTCCTGAGAAAGCTCAGACTTTTCACGCTTCCATCTGTGAACCCCATGAGTATTTGCAAAAGATTAAGATCGTAGGGAGAATGGTTCCAATTCAGAGTACCAAAAAATCAGAAAGTAAACACATCTCTAATGAAACGGAACTCCTAAAGCTATAATGGATTTGCTGCAACTTCCACCCCTTAAGGTTTTTAATAAGCAAAAGAAAATTTAATAGATGAATTATGTAAAGAATCTGGGAATGAGTGAAATGACAAGCTTCCTCCATTAATATGCTGATTTTTTTTAGATGGTGCAGCATTTCACAAGAGAGATATGTGACTAGAGAACTGGGAAGTTGCTTTGCCATGGCAGATGGCATTTAAATGTTGAAAAACCTCTTTCGTTAGACTTCAAGAGGTCAGAAAATGTCACCAGAACTTTTATGACATGGCACGTCACATCAGCAGTGACACATGTTCCTTACAGATATGAAGTGCATGTGACAAATACAAAGTGGAGACCATCCAAAGGCTGAGAATAGCAATGTTCACACTCCAATGATGTATTTCTCCCTTCAGCCCTTACACAACTTAGTTTTCCATACAGATACGCTGCATAAACCAGAACAAGAACATATCCGGGAGCAAACAGACATGAGGCTTTTCTGCATCTTGGAAATGCTAACGGAGAGCATATACATCCCCCTCCTTTACAAACATGCTCAGGCACTCAACAGACCTTTCTGGCTGCATGTTAAAAACCAGCCATCTGAAAAAGATCTCATCTGGTCCCAGACTCTCCAGGGCAGATACACTGGTAATCTAGCTCCCCAAGGCATACTAAGATTAAAGCAGCTCAAGCTCTGAAGTATAGAGCCAGAATATTTAGAGATAATTCCTAATGACTTGATTTCACTTGAGAGAAGGAAAAGGTCAACTGCCCACGCACATTGCACACACAATGTCCAAGTGTGGACGTTGCATCTGCTATAATTAACATATTTAACTGGCTACATTCTCCTGAGTCTGAACACAGGTCCTGCTCACACCCTTCTCAAACGATTCAAGCCTCAACTCCAGCCCAACAAGGTGTCTTCCTTCCACTCTGTCCTTCGGAATACTGCCCCAGACTCTCACACTTAAAAGCTATTTAACTTTCAATCTAAGCTTATTCCCATTAATTTCAAATGTATTTACTGTTGTGCAAAAAACTCAGCTCATCTGGCTTCCATCTTGCTGTTAGTCCTTCAGTATATTTACTACTGTCTTACTCATCCCATCACCTTCATTTTCCAAGGCTCAATAAGCCACTTTTTCTTTTTTTTTTTTCTTTTAAAACTGGCAGCTCATTGCTCTGACCATGCTATCAGCCTCAGTGGGCACTTTCTTTAGTTTGCTCTCATCTTTCTGCTATGAAGCTGAAAGTATATGCAAGTGTCCAGATGAGTTCTCCCAAAAGCCCAACAGCATTAGTGCTCCTCTGATAGCCACTGAGACCTTTTAAGATCACAGTGTAACAGATCATGGAAGTGCTGCCTCGGTTATCACAAGGTCTAGCAATGCCCCCAGATCATCATTCCTCCTTTGCAGTTTCCAGTTGATGAGCTCCATGTTTATAGGAGACCTCTGCATTAGATGCTAGATGCATGGCACTCAGCTCCTTTTTATTCTTCCAGCCCTCATCCTCATCCAGTTCTTTATTCTTGACTACATCAGAAAACATTAAGCTAATTTACTTTCAAAATCTCCCACAACCTTCTTTTAGAAGTAGCATTATCACCATTACATGGAGAGTGAGCTAAGGCACAGATGGCACAATTTTGGAAGTATCTGCTCAGATGAGAGTGTGCAGCATTTCTACCAATCTTCTTCCAGGTTCTAGAATCAGGCATCTCAAATGAGTTAGGTACAACAGGTAATGAATGATGGCTTTTGAAAAGTTTAGCTCAAAATGACTAGTTCAAGACCACACAGAAACTTCCCTTCTTCTGCAGTAAGCCAGAAAAAAAGTGGACAGCTCATCTCTGTTACCGAGCAAAGTGCATGTTTTGGCAGGCGGGAGGGAAATATGTGGTAGTGAAAAAGTTACAGGATGTATAAACAACTTTAATTTCAGCACTGTCTAACCCTGAGCGCTTTATTTGATGCTAAAAAGACAGTACTAAGACCTTGAGGAAAGGACAGACATTTCCTAGGATCCTACCAACAGGAAGCCAGTTGAATGCCTCCAGTCATTAGAGCCCTTGTGCTGACAGCCATATGGTTCCTCTGCAGACCTGGAGCCCTCAGTTCCGCACAGGCTTCTGCCGTTTGAACAAAATAACAGAGAAGATCACAACCTGCTAGTGCTGCCTGGGATCAGGAGCAGGATGCCTTGCCAGCTCACTTCCAGGAAACAAAGGGAGGATGAGAAGGAAACACCTTGGGTCCTGCTCTAGGTTCTTGGAAGAGATGAGCTTTGTGGGGACCTGCTATACTACCTACTAGCCCCAACCCTGAAGTTTCCTACCCAGATGCTCCTGTTCCAGCTCCTGGCTTTTCCCTGCCTTGATGGCCCTTGCTAGCAAGTCCTGATCTATCTAGTCCTGCTTTCTCAGCCTGGGCTTCTCTCACTTCTCAGACTTCCCCGTCCAGCCTTCATTTCCTGGGCTGCTTTTTCCAAGCTCAGACCCTCCCCATTTTTGTGGCTCTCTGCCACACACTCTTTGATCAGCTAATTTTGCTTCTTAATTTGAGCTCCGGTCAACAGATTAATTTCCTTTTTCAAGCCAGAGAGTCTCCTTTTCTCATCAGCCCATTCTTCAGAACAGCCAAAACATCTTTTGATTAAATTTTTCCTTAGTGATTTAAACTTAGTTGGATGCACAGAATAAAAACACTCAGCAAAAAATAAGTGTTTGACAAAGTTTTGAACAAAAACCATGGAGTACACCCACCCTCCACAAATTATCCAAACTCAAGTAATGGAAGTACTTGGCAACCTAAGTAATAGGCAGTGCTGTCAGTACAAATTACAATTAACTTCCTTTCATTTCTCATTGATTTTCAAG